CACTTGAGCTATCGTGACTTCGATTGCAAAAAGGAGGGAAAATTCAGACGGTGGGTTGAGATGGGAAGTTGGTGTCCGAGTGGATCGAAGTCATGATAGCTCAAGTGGTAGAGCAGCGGCGTATCTAGCCGAAGGTCGTGGGTTCAAATCCCGCTCTTGACACTGACTTTTTTATCTCAACCAATATTTTGCATAAAGATTAATTAATTGAAAGATGTTATTTGGTCAATCTGAACACGGAATATAATGACTTTGATTAATATTATCGTAAATTTAAATTTTTTTACGAGGGTTCGCAACAGGAGAGGTCATCTGAACCCTCACGGTGTTTTAGAAAAAAATCCCATTTGTAAGTATGTCGGGTTCGAATGCAGGGCCGCTGGATTCGAACCCGTGACCTTTACCTTACTGTGATAAGTGCCGTGTCATCGCCTAAACCGTTGTAGCCATCCGCCCAAAAAAATAAAAAAAATTTTGTTAAATTATTAAGAAATCGTGAGATGCGTCTGGTGTGATGTAGGTTTCAGAAAAACATTTTCTTTATCGTGCCAACGTTTCGATCTTTATTGAGATCATCTTCAGGACTCAAAGTGTTTGTTTTCGGTGTAGACGATTTCTTAATAATTATCGATTAACGGTCACTAATCACCACACATTTTGTTAAATGTGAACTTGTTAAATTCAGGCCCTGATGGCGTATTTTACATTACAATCTTGGGAAAGCTGTAGTATAGTTTTCTGTTGACCTATTTCCGGTCTTCTTCAATATGATAAAAATGTAAAGCAGTGAAGATAGACGAACCAGAATGATCAAAAACGACTATGCTATTGTTTAAATCTCTTAATTGAAAGAAAATAAACGCTAAGATAGGATAACGTGTCCAATATTTCTCCAGAACATAAAATTAAGACTGAACATTTAGAAAAAATTTGGTTTTGTAGTCATTTTCAGCAGTTACTGCGTTCTTGGATTTTTATTGATTGGTTTTTTGCCTCTCCCCGTCATTAAAACCTTTTCTCCATTACTCACATATGTAATTATCATATTTATTGGGTTATAAACATTTACACTCAAAACAGGTGTGTCTGCATTACACCTGCTCCGTGGATCGTTTGTCCCTCGACTATTTATTTATATTTGATTATTTATTTAAAATCTAGTTGTAGAGATGAGTCGGCACCTGGTATCATGAATCACAACGTGACGACAACTATTTCGCGGTCTAATCCCCGAAATAAATGCTCCCGTTCGGTAAACAAAGACATTAAGTGGCCGAGCCAGCCACTAACTCACATTAACGGCGGTCTTAGTGTCTCGGTTATTGTATCATCGGAGGCGGTGATGAATGACTGTGGGGCGGCTCTTTTCCACCCTTCGCCCCCAGCAGCCGCCCCCCACGAAATCTGTATTCAATATCGCATCCCCCGCCACCACCGCCCTTCCGCCCTAACGCAACACTATATCTCAACCAGATTCTCGATCCACCATTTGTTCCATTCAATCCTTCGATCCGGGCGAGGTGTCTGTTAATATCAATAAATTCGCGAGCAACCACCCTTCTCGTTTTCCGGCCGATTGGTTCAGTTTTACCGTGTCGTACTTCACTGTTTCTGAATAAATGAAATAATTGTAGCATTTTCATTTTTTTAAATTGATAATATCAATGAATTCTCCTAGCACCCATATTTCCCGTTTTTGACTGATCGGTTCAGTTTTAGCGCAGATATAGAATGAACTATATTTAGTACATTTTTATTTATTATATTATTATAAACTTGGTATACGCTTCCTTGTTATTTTGGTCTTTCCAACGCGTTTTATTAATCTTTGCATCAAAAAAGATGGCGAGAACTAAAACTCATCTAGCAGACCTATCAAAAGAGAATATGACTACCAAAACGATCAGAAATGGCCAAACTGCAAATTAATCGCCCAGCAGACTCCATGATGTTGTGTGTTTTTTTCTTAAACATAGTAACCCTATGTTTGTGCAGTCGGGGCATAGAGGCAGCGCAAAGGTTGACATGTTGTCAAAGAGAAAGCCGACAAGAACTCTCTTGGTACTGAACCCTACTGTCGCTTAACATCCAAATGAGGATACATCTTAAAATGTATCCTTAATGAGTCCAAAACCTTGTGGAATAATACCACAGGCATGAGGTACGCGAAGAGATTCATAGATTGCGCCATCTGCAAAACTTCCAAAGGAATTACTGGAAGGCAAGCGTAACTAAACCAGGATTCTGGTTGGATTCCAGGCAGAGCTCTGCTTCTTAAGAAATCAATGCACCGGATAGAATGTACAGACAGAAGAAACACTGTGCAGATACTGCCAAGAAGAGGAGGAGCCTGCAGAACACATTTTATGTTTCTTTGAAGGTCTATGTAGGTACAGGTTCTTGCAACTAGGACAGGAAAAACCACAAGCAAGACCCTACACCAAGGAGCCGTTGGCAAGTTGGTTGATTAACAACGTGAAGCTGGCCAGTGAGTTATAAAAAAGAGGGGGAGAACAATAGATCTACTTAGGTCGAGGTGCAGAAGGCGTTATGGTCGCCTCTTTTATCCCTTTCAGACAGAAGAAACACTGTGCAGTTATTGTCATGAATAGGAGGAGACCGTAGAACAAATTTTACGTTTTCGTGAAGGTCTATGTAGGTACAGATTCTTGCAATTAGGTCAGGAAAGCCATAAGCATGATCCTACACAAAGGAGCCAATGGCAAGTCTGTGGAGTTGATTAACAACCTGAAGCTGGCCAGTGAGTTATAACAAACTGGGGATCAGAATAGAGCTGCGCAGGTCGAGGTGCAGAAGGCAATATGGCCGCCTCTTTTATTAGGCGGAGGCCGTAGAACAAATTTTATATTTTTGTGAAGGTCTATATAGATGCAGATTCTTGCAATTAGGTCAGGAAAGCCATAAGCATGATCCTACACAAAGGAGCAATGGCAAGGCTGTGGAGTTGATTAACAACCTGAAGCTGGCCAGTGAGTTATAACAAACTGGGGATCACAACAGATCTGCGCAGGTCGAGGTGCAGAAGGCGTTATGGCCATTTCTTTTATCCCTGTCATATACGACTGCTGGAAGCGTTAATTAATATATATGCTATATACAAAACTATCGGAAATGACCAAACTAGAAATTCATCACTAATTTTATATTTTTGGCTATTTATATCAATAAAATCTTTATTGCTGGGTCTGTGGCCCACTGAAGGTGGCAAGAAGCCTGAAGTCCAATCCAGAAAGGATATTCAGACTAAAACGATCAGAAATGACTAAAAAAATTTCATTTGGCTAAAATTTAACCGATGTATGTACTATGGATTAAGTCCTAGCGTGCGATATGAAATGAACTAAAAATACGTTCGTATTTACTGTATTTTGATCGTTTCTGCCTAACTTGGTCCGTTTATCCTCGCTGTTTTGGACGCATTTTTTTCATCTTGTAATTTTTAACGTCGGGTCTGCATGTGGAAAAGACCGAACTATAGGTTCACCCCCCCCCACAGAACTCAAGCGTACTTCTTACAACCAATTTAATACATTCAATTAATCAAGGTTTTTAGTTGAGATAAAGTCAGTTTCACGAGTGGGATTCGAACCCACGACCTTCGGCTAGATACGCCGCTGCTACATTTGAAAAATGGCAAAAAGGAGGGAAAATTCAATAGGTGAGGTTGAGATGGGAAGTTGGTGTTCAAGTGGATCGAAGTCACGATAGCTCAAGTGGTAGAGTAGCGGCGTATAAAGCCGAAGGTCGTGGGTTCGAATCCCGCTCGTGACACTGACTTTTTTATCTCAACTAAAAACCTTAATTAATTGAAAGATATTAATTGGTCAAGCGGACCACGAAAAGTTGTGAACTATTAATTACTTTTATTTAACATACCTGTAAAATCATTTAATACATACACAACCAAATTTATTAAAAATACCTAAGATAAATTTATTTCGTTTAAATGGTATGTAACAAATTAAACAACTCTCAGAATTGGAAATCGATTTTTGTCAGTCACAAATATTTTTAAAACAAAGTCAAATGACAACAAGGGGGATTTAAGAGGTCAAAAGAACACAAAAGAGAATTGTATCGACGACCCAGTGTTTTGTATATTTAAAACGGTCCATGTGACAATTACGTAGTCAAGGCAGGAAATATAACTCATTGATAGGTGGTATAGACGAGGATTCTTTCCGAAGCTTTTTATATATGTGTTTTTTTTTCTTCAAGGAGTCCATTGAGAAGCCGATCGTATCTGAAACCTCACTTGACACCTATCGCACTCTACCCCCTGAATATCAATTGACTTTTTCCTCCGGTCCAGGCCCCTTCCTCTTTCCATTTGGGTTTACGGAGTGCGAGAGGGATTTCTATTGAGTCCTGCGGTAGCAAAGCCGTGTTACGATCCCCCTTTTACAAAAGAGAACGAAAATCTTTGAATCTGTGATACTTGCACAACTGCGGCACAATGTAGAAACCGGTGGAAGCAATTTACAATTATCATGTCGACATCTTAAACCGACAAATTGATCATTGACGTATATCACTTATAAATATGTATATACCGGTTTTGAAAGTTCCATAACAGAGAAATTTAGGCTAATCTTAATTTTTAAACGTTTTTAGACAGTCGATTATCGCTTCGACTGGAAAACATTTACCGCTTGAACACGTAAAGCTAATTAAAGCCATCGTCGGCGGTTTTATTGACTAATTGCCGGTGAGATAAAAAGGAGTTACAAAATCAGTTATCATATTTTATATTTCCACGAGTATTTGAGTACCTACAATGTATGTTTTGTTATTTATAACGGGTTTTTTCCAATCAGTTTAAAGCACAATAAAAAACTAGTGGAATTTAATAAAGAAGTATTTTCTTTATATTTAACCGATGGTCGAGTTTTTTTAAATGACGAGTTTGATAATGTAGTAAATAAATAATTATATTGTGAGATTTCTCTAGAGTATAATGGTTTATTGATTTTTTTTAGGGTAATCCATATGGACTCAAAGACACCTCCACGACGGGCGACATGAGCCCATGGGCGAGCGGACTCCAACCCTCCTCTGGCTACTACCCTTATGACCCTACATTAGCAGCCTATGGGTAAGTGCTTTATGTTTATTTAGTCCTATTACAAAAATAGATATATAAGAAAGAAATATTCAGAAAGACAATCCACTGTTGAAAGTTAACACTTGAGAGTACACTAAATGTTTTACTGCTGGGTTTAATTAAAAATAAAAATTATTTATGATGAAAATGGTGTTTATTCGAGGGAGATTTATTGATCGATTAATGAATTCATCCATTTGATTGATCGTTTAAAATTATTGTTCGTGGTTTTTAACCCGTGTCTTTAGAAATTACGTGATGTTTTTTACCAAACGAGTTTATTAAATTTAATATTTAAATGTCCATATATTAAGGAAATGTGTAAGGGTAATATTTACATCTTGTTATAAAATTAATTTGAAAAAAATAGAATGGCAACCCTTTACCGCTGCCCAATGAAGTCTACTTAAATTCGCATATTTTTTGCCTGGATTAATTGAAATGTTTAATTTTATGATTGTCCGTCAAGAGGGTTTATTTGACAGAATCAATTTAATTTAAATGTTTAAATTTATTTTATGTGATCCTTGTCCATGTCTAAAGCTATTCTTTAGAAATAACTTGACAGGTATTACCAAATAATTATTATTAAATTTGTTATTTATATTATCGTATTAGCAAGTGAAAATATATAAAGGTAATATTAACTCCGTTTTATAAAAATAATCCGGAATGAAATTCACAATCGCTACGAACAACCAAAAACAAGCCCCTACTTACTGAAGTGTACTTAAATTTGCATATTTTTTCCATTTTGCTAATTGAAATGTCTAAATTATTTATGACGTGCAAAAGGTTTTTTATTTTGGAGAAGTCTAATCTCGTTAATCCAATTGTTAATCGTTATATTTGGTGTTCGAGGATTTTAAGCAATGTCTTTGGAAATAATGTAACAGGAATTTTTACCAAACATTCATTATTAAATTGGATATTTATATTATGATACATAAGTAGCTTTTGAAAATATATAAGATTAATATATTTATAGAAATAATTTATAATGGCCACCCTTTGCGCACTGAAAAGCATAAAAATTGCCTATTTTAGCGTTTCGGTTAATTCAAATGTTGAAATTATTTATGACTACTAATAAGATGCTTAGTTGAGAAAATACAAACTGTTTGATCCAGTTAGTTCATTTTTTTAAATTTGGTTGGATTGGATATTAGTTCATATTACATTTCTTTTCGTGGCCCGCTTGACCAAATAAATTCTTTTCAATTAATTAATCTTTAATTAAGGCTTTGGTTGAGATAAAAAACTCAGTTCACAAGCGGGATTCGAACCCAAATTTCATGCTTGAAAAATGGCAAAAAGGAGGGAAAATTCAAAAGGTGGGGTTGAGGTGGAAAGTTGGCGTCCCAGTGGATCCAAGTCACAATAGCTCAAGTGGTAGAGCAGCGGTGTATTGAGCCGAAGGTCGTGGGTTCGAATCTCCTTGTGACACTGACTTTTTATCTCAACAACAACCTTAATTAAGGATTAATTAATTGAAAAGAATTAGTTGATATCTTTAGAAATAACGTGACACGTATATATTTATAAAACAATTATATTAAATTTTATATTTATATTTTGATGCATCCACTGCATGTTGAAATATCTGAGGATAATATTTACTTTCGTGGTCCGCTTGACCAATTAATAACATTCAATTAATTAAGATTTTAAGTTGAGATAAAAAAGACAGTGTCAGGAGCGGGATACGAACCCACGACCCTAGCGGCGTATCAAGCCGAGGGTCGTGGGTTCGAATCCCGCTCGTGACACTGACTTTTTTATCTCAACTTAAAACCTTAATTAATTGAATGATAATATTTACTTTTACTTTTTTTAATTTTTTTAAATAAAATTAATAATTTAAACAAAAATCAGTCAGAATAGCAACTTTTTTATGTTCAAATCAAACGCCTGCCTACTGAAATTAAATTAAATTTGCATTTTGCATACTTTTGTTTTTGGTCAATAAAAATATTAAAATTATTTATGTCGATCAAAAGGCTGTTTATATGTGACAAATCGACTCTCATTAATCCATTTAATTTTCGTGAAGGGTTTTTATGTCATGTCTTTAGAAATAACGTGACAGGTATATTTTACTAAACAATTATTATTTATATCATGGTACATCGGTAATTTGTGGAAATATCTAAATGTAACATTTCCTTCGTGTCCTCGAAAAAACCCCTTGAAAAAAATCACCAATCACCGAAGAAAACCAACCCCCACGCACCAAAGAACATTTAAAATTGCAAATTTCAGGTTTTAATTGAAAAATTGAAACTATTTATTCAGGTCAAAGGGATGAGGGAAATGTAAACTATTTCATCCAGTTAGTTAGTTCTTTAAATTTATAGTAAGTAGGATTTTTTAATCCATGTCTTTAAAAATAACTTGACAAGTATATTTTTATCAAACAATATTATTAAATTGGATATTTATATTATGATACATAATTAGCCTGGGGAAATGGGTAAGGGTAATATTTACATGGTGTTATCAAAATAATTTAAAAAAAAAACATATATTCAGAAAGGGTTTCTTTTTCTGTTGGCAACAACTCCCTACTCGCTGAACTGCACTTAAATCAGCCTATTTTTCCTATGGGTTAATTCAAATATTTAAATTATTTATAAGGGTCAGAAGGGTTTTTATGTGCAGTATATTTAGCTCGTTAAATTTATTATAAGAGGTTTTTTGAATTTCGCATATTTAGACATAACTTGAAGGTTTTTATCAAACAATTTTTATTAAATTAGATGTTTAAACATTTGACTTTCATAAGGGGAAAATATGTAATGGCAATAATTAATTTTTTTATTTTAAAAAATTTAAAAATCAGAAGTTCAAATTTTTATCGTTAAAAACCAGCCTCTAGGCACTAAAGTTTAAATTTGCGCAATTAGCTTTTGGTTACCTGAATTATTTATGACGGTCAAAAGTCTGCTTTTTTGAGAGAAATTAAAAATAGTGTTCAAAACTTAGTTAAGCCTTTAAAATTTCGTGTTAGTGGTTTTTATGCTCTTTAGAAATAACGTGACTTATATTTATATCAAATAATTATTATTAAACTAGGATATTAAGTAAATATTAACAAGACAAATATTATTAATTTTAATATTTATGTTGTTATATATCATCACCAACGTGCTTTTTATTGATTTAGTTTTATAAAACTAACGCGAAGGAAAATATTTCAATGCTGGTAAAAATAAGCCTTTATCAAATTGAAATTTTGAAAATATTTTCTTTTATGAAGGTTCGCAACAACAGAAGTCATATAAAATGTAGAGGTATGGGTGTTCCTTTTTTTCGTAAGTATGTTGGGTTCGAATGCAGGGCAGCTGGATTCGAACCCGGGAGCTTCACCTTTTAATGATTAGCGCCGCGTCATCGCCTAAACCGTTGTTGCCACTGACGACCCATTTAAAAATATTTGTAAAGATCAGTAGCGTTTAGTGTAATTTTTTAAATCTTCCTGTTGAAATTAAATTTTTTACAACATTAAATTGAGATTTACATAATTAAAGTTTATATTTCAGCCATACACATTGTTGGTTGTTTTGAAATGAACTAATTTATGAGATATTCACGGCAATGTTTTAAGCCAGTAAAGTTAATATGGTAATTCGAACGTGGATTAATTTTGTGAATATCCGTCCAAATTTTCTCCATTCCGTTTTCAATTTGTAAACAAATGTCAAAGAAATTATCCCGGTTTGAATGAGATATTAAATTGCTGAAAACTCGACGTGGCGGTAATGGATTTCACATCAAAAACCCACGTACGGTATACAGACGAAAATCCTCGTTCCTACGCTAATCCGATTAGCCGAACTGTCGTCGGTATGGCGCGTGATAATTAACGGACTCGGTTCGATTGAACGGCGAATCCATCCCGAAACATCCTAAATCGGTTCCGTGAAACCGTTAAGAAAACGCTTAGGCCTGAGGAGTGAAATTGACACGTGTCCCCCCCCATATCCTTTCCCTCTACTTTTCTGGATAAGTATGGGGTAAGGTGTGAGGGTGTAACCACCTGTAATCGATATATATTTGCATGGTGGGCGCGCCTCCCTCTTCCATTACAATGGCCTCCCCCTTCACTCAATACGACCGCGGATTTCGATTATTCAAGCTGACGATTTTCCACCCTTTTCACCGGATAATCGGCCGGAGGGAAACACGCGCGGGCGGACTTCAAAAGACTCATCTAACCACTGTATGGCCGCATGGTGCCGTCCATTAGAACGAAATTAAAACGACCACTGTTACGGTCGATAGGATATAACATCAGTTTGGAAAGTTTCTTTTTATTAGACGAAATAATGATAAGCTTGTGTATACACATCTATCCCACAAACGGAAGAACATAAATATCAGTTTTTCTTTTAACTTTCATTTTATTCATTGGCGGCATTTCGTCAAACCGTATAAACGTCAAGACTTTCCATAGTCATTTAATAACACAGTGAAACCTCCGATAAGACTCATTTCACAGGACATATGCACTGGCATGGCAAACTCTTTTATCATCTCAAGCAAGAAAAAACTTTAGCAAAATCCTAACAGGATTCTGAACAGGACACTGCAAACTAAATGGACATATGAAAATGATTGGCATAACCCAACACCGTACCTGCAGTTTCTACGAAGAAGCATAAGAAACACCAACATACCTACTAACAATCCGTGGTGCTACACGATGGACGTGTTTTGCGACATACAACGCAACCGTAGAAGAGATCCAACTACTGAAACCGGTTCCTTGATAAACTAGGACTTGGTGTGCTTAAGCACAGAACGGGGGATAAAATAGCTCTTAAAGTCTCTTTATAATACACACCCAGACTAATACATCTATCTCTTTGTCATCTCCCCTAAGAGAACACTCTAAATAAAGAACAAGGACACTGTCAAGTCTTTCTACACGAAAGCCTCTGAGTAGTGAACAGGTCAGATCAGTTTTTCAAATTGTTAGGTACCATAAACTTTCTCTG